ACTTCGATAAAGCTTCGAAAATTTTTAATAGACATAGGTAAAGGACCTTGGTTTCTCTGGAAGGTCTTGTAGACTTTTATGTTTAGGGATGACGCCTCTTCAGAAGAGGAACGAGTCGAAAAATGTATCGCGGCATTCCGCTATCATTTACATTATCTGAACGAAGAAGGTATGGTATCTCTCATCTCCACATTCTCTAATTAATTTTGAAAGATTTTTAGCTGGTAAATATGCCTGGGAGATTGTCATGGCTGGCCTGCGGGCAGTTATGGGTCACATCACATATCAGCGACTTGCTGATGATGGTCCGAAGTATGGAGCGGTAACGGAAAAACATCCGCTTACTACAGAGTATGTACAGTTTTTCTCCTTCCCAAAGAAATGTCCATATTAGATCATGGGGTTATCTGATTCTCGCTTGAATTGAAATCTAAAAAATCTTGAAATTCAAATCATCATCTTATTTTCATCGTTAAATTGTGAAAAGATTCTAACGAAAAAATTCTATACTGTTTGCTTAAACTTTGTGACACTGTCCATTTAATTGTGTTTCTTCAGCTACTTCCTGCATCTGGAAGATGTGACATCGTGGGAGCAAGAAGAGCATTTGGCATACGATCCTGAGAAGTCAAAATATCTCATGGCTTTCAATGGATGGGTCATGGCGTACGATCCACTTAAAAACTTCGCATTGCCTGATTCTCAAGTTAGTCATTCCCATCTGAGTCCGAGCGTGTTCTACGCTATATATATCTAGGTTTATCTCCGACGAGAATTAGTCTGTTGGGGTGATTCTGTTAAACTAAATTATGGAGATAAGCCTGATGATTGTCCGTTCTTGTGGAATTACATGAAGGAGTATTCGTATGTTTTTTATCGTAAGTTTTCTCATTAAAGGAAAGTCGAGTGATAGTTTACAGGCAAGAATGCGCACGAGTCTTCCATGGTTTGCGCATTGACAATGCTCATAGTACCCCTATCCATGTTGCTGAGGTAAGGAATGGTGTCCTTTTCTTTGTTCTGAATGCGAAATGTCATGAATTTGAGCAAGAAAGTAGACTTTCAGCTTATATTCGCCGCTGAATTTCGCATTTCTCGAACTAACTGACTAAGTTATTACCCGAAACTAATCAAAATTCATTATTATCGAGCGTGAAACTGAACATTATGACCAATGATAACAATTAAAATCTTCATATAGACTATTATGACTCAAAAATGAAAAAAAGGCTCTGAAATCCTCGCAAGAAAGCTCGTCATGCAGAAATAGACGGTTCATCACTTACGTAGTTTTCGGACTTATGAAACCCTTCAACTCCGAGAAATCATCCTGACGAGACTTAAAAGCTATGGTTTTATCGAGCTGCACTTTCCTTCGCATAGTTGGCTAGTGCACCATCTTCCTTTTTTTCAGTATCTTATATTGGCAGCTCGAGAGATTCGCCCAGATCTCTATGTTTTCGCGGAACTGTTCACTGGCAGTGAAGATAAAGACAATATGTTCGTCAACAGACTTGGTATCTCTTCCTTGATCAGAGGTAAGACTTTCACAGCAATTTTCAGCATATCTAAGCAAAAATTGCTTTAGAAGCTCAAGCAGCTCATGACAGCCACGAACAAGGAAGACTTGTATACAAGTACAGTAAATCTGAATTTCTATAAATTTTTGCCAACTTTCGTTTTCTAGATATGGTGGAGATGTGGTTGGTGCAATGATCCAAAGGCCAACTCGCTACGCTCCAGCTTCGAATGCTCATGGGCTCTTCTTGGATCAAAGTCATGACAATCCAACACCTATTGAGGTAACGCTGCCTACACTCAACATTTTAGCTTGGAATAAAACTTCCGGATGATTTCATTTAGACTCGTTCCGTATACGATCTCCTCCCCACTGCGGCAATGGTATCAATGGCTTCCTGTGCTGTAGGATCCACTAGAGGTTACGATGAGCTGGTCAGACACGCAGTAAGTCATGTTCTTCTATCATTATGCTACCTTCTGAGCGTTTAGCGATCTCGCACATGACAAATTCCCCACCTAAAAATTGTTCTTCTGTGCCGCCACAGTATGCTATCGTAATCCGCG